TGAAATTGAAAATAACCTAATAAAAAAGGTCTTTCGCACTGGCTCTCATAAAGGCTTTGATTCCCATCCATTGATGTGGAAAAGCTATTCAATTCTCACTGGTGATGCCTCACGAACCTATGTCAAAGGTTTTTGGAAACGTTCACATTGAATACAATTTGATTGATCAAAAAGGTCTTTCAAAAGGACCGTAATATAGGCTTGGTCATGGGCTTACACAAAGGGTTTTCACTTTGAGGCCAATAAAAGAAATATACCATCAACATATTCAGCGGGTTTACAAGTCAAGAACCTTGAAGATAAGACAAGATATGATTGCTTCCACTCCTTCTAGCGGTAGCTCCCACATGAGATTCTCACTTCGACTCGAACCATCCTAATCGGAAGAGACTTTCGGATGTGGGTTGCAATGTCGGTTCGAGTGAGGCTTAAAAGGCTTAAATTTTTCATACAAGGAAGGGTTTGAGGAGTTGGTGATTATCTTGGCATCATTACCATCACACAACTTCATAACAGTGTGACTCTTGAAATTTGACTTATCTCGATAGTCCTTTGATTGATACACATGTGAGCTTCGCTCTTTTTCCTAAAGAAGATCGTACTTTCAATGGATGTTTTTGCAGTTGCAATGAATATTGTTGGACTTGCAATACTTTTCTTGCTTTTGATCTAATTTTTGCGTGGGCTTAGGTCTTGCTTTTACCATGCACATTGCCTTTGTAAGCTTTTTTTTTATTATTTTTTCAATTCTTTGGCTTTTCTTTTAAGTATCTAAGATTCTTGAGATGCCTCTATCTTTTTACCATCATTTTGCTTTGATGGTAAATCACATGTATTGCCCCAACGTGGGGAGATAATCACCACTTGGATTTCAAAAAGGATTGCATTAGGCTCAAATTGGCTAAGCAAGGGATAATTGTGTTTTGGTAGAGAAATGAATGATCTTCTTCACTTTGGGATGCTTCGAGCTTATGCCAGAATTCATCTGGAGCTATGTTGACACCTAAATTTTAACTAGTCATTTAGGAACAATTGCATAGAAAATTAGGGATTTATTTTTTAACCCCTAAACAAAAAAATATAATTAGATGGCATTGCATATAGATATTAGGAGCATTCCATTAATAGTTAATATAGTTTGCATATTTATTGGACCGGTGTCAAATGGACTTGAATGAATAGTTCTGTGCTTAATCAAGCTAATTGAACTAAGCCCGCGAGAACTAGAAAGGTTGGCAAAAAGCCCATGCTATGACCGAAAGTTTGATGGACTTATAAAATTCTTCCCCACGGCATGGTCAGATAAATGAAAGGAAAGAATAGCATGCAGGGCACGTATCGTCTTCACACATATCTTTGATTTACGGGCACAAGTGGAGGAATGATGCAAAGAATAAAAGAAAATATTTGGCTGAGCTGGTGCTGTGCAGACAAAGGGAATAAAAAGAAGGCAAGAAAAGATCTTTAGCATTATTCACATATAATAAATATTGAATAAGAGGTAATATTGCGCGTGGGACATATAGTTGATCTTAAGCAATATATCTTTTTGACAATATTTGTTATACACAAAGAAGGTAGTCGAGAGGTGGCTTTTCATTCATATATTCATATTTCCTCTTTTGAAGAAAAAAGGAAGACATTATAAAAGAGACCCAAAAAGCGACAGAATAGGGGGGGGGGGGGCTTTCTTTTAGGATCTGATCACACGCAAGAAACACGAGAGACACACGTACGTGAGGTTAGAGAGAGAAGAGGTCTCTCGGCCAAAGACCTTCTGGCCGAGACTCCTTCTTCGGCGCCACCCCTTGCCAGCTGACCGCCGCTCCCTCCATGACGGCAAGTTGTTCTGATCTGCCCCGGCGTACTTGACACTGACCTTGACGACGTTTCTGTTCACCGTCCGACGACGAAGCAGCCTTGCCGAGCCTTACTGACGAACAGCCAGCCACCTCGGGCTCGAACATCTGCACCGGCGAATCAGTGCTCACGGTCACTTAAAACATCAAATATCACGGAGTTCTTCTTAAGTGGTGTTTGCAGGTTTTCCGGCAACGTTCCTTCATGGCAGTCCCATGCTACGCCTCCCATCTTGGTGCTACATCCTTGCAGCTACTCTGGTGCTTGATCGAACAATCCCAGTGGACTTCGGCCTGACGCAATTGAAGTCCCAGCCTTGTCAAAGCAGCCACTTGTCAACTCCAGCAGCTTCCCAGACGTCATTCTTCCAATATCAGTAATACTCGGTGGAGATTCTGATCAACGACCCTAACTCCTACAAGCTTCTCCATCAAGCTGTCGCTGTTCTGCTCCTTTAGGTGTCCCTCAAGCAAAGCCACAGCACCAGAAAGCTTCACGCCAAGGCTGAGCATCGCCTCATCATCCCACCGTCCTCGCCGTCGAGTACCACTGTCAGCCAATTCCCGTGATTCGCGAGCACCACCGCAAATTGAGCCGGAAACCGCTGCGAGCTGAGTCTGCGCCGTTGTCGCCACTCGCAATGTCGGCCGTCCCGTGATCCGCGAACCCGATCCGGCATCAAGCTCGAATTTGGAAGTTATCCGTAAATTAGGTAAGAAACTTTATCCGATATCGTTTCAAATATTTAAATTCCTAATTCGAGTGATTTTATTGTCTTTTGTTGGTTAGTAGATATATTTGAATGATGCATGGCATATTCGCAAGATTCCAAAAAATACACTAAGTTAGGAAATTCCTAACTTAACAACGTGTCGGGACGACTATCCGATCTCAACCATGAGACACGATACTCGTTGGCACGGAAAATCTTTATCCTGTCCATAACTATTTGGATACGATAGTAGATTTTATTTTGTTCCCAAATTCAAACGAATAGCCTTCCATCAATATCCATAACCACATGGATATGATCGCCGGTTTATATCGTTTCCCTAATTCAAAGATAATAAAACAAATCTTGCGGATCGCGTGGATTGGTTTTGATTGTGGTGGTTATCTATCTGTTTGATTTATTTCCTTTAAAAAGAAAATTCCAAAAAAGATTAGTTAGGATTTGAATTGATTTTATTAGAAGATAATGATGCATGTTTAGGATAGGTTTAGAATAACTTTCTTTGAATAAGTCGATAGGATAACTTTTTAATTTAAATTAGGAATTAGAGTAATTTATTTCCTAGTTTAATTTAGATATTATCCTGATCTCGACGGTTCATTTTAGGGTAATTCTTGATTTCGAATTTTCATAAAAATACTAAAAAGAAGTCACTTTAGGATAGATTAAATTATTTTAGAATAGATTGCATGTTAATTTAGGCATTTTTTTTTAAATTCCGAATTTCATTAAAAAATAAATCATTTGTTCGTCATTAATTAGGTCGCGTCGTCGCATGATATATAGTTTGCATGTTAGGCTGCATTAATCGCATGCTAATTTTTGCACGTCATTACATATAGGTTAGCTTTCATTTAAATAAGTGAAAATCCAAAAAATATTGAGTGAACTGCTTGTTAATTAGAAATCATATTAGGATTGATGATGTGATTCTTTAGCTAACAATGCAGATGCTTACGTTGCTTCGAGGTAAGTAATTCTCCAAATCTTGCAATTTATTTAATGTTTTGATTATTGGGTGTTACTTTGGTGGTTTGCGCACCCGCATGATCACCTCACATGCTAGTGACTAAGTTAAAATGGATCCAGACCGCATGCACAAATGTTTTTGAAAAGAAAAGGTACCGAAAGGGCGTTAGACTAGATCTAGCGTAATCAAGTCCCCGAGCTTAGAATCTCTGGTTCGTAGGAATAAAACATATCTCCCTATGTTTTATTTAGGTTTCTAATCGACCTATCACAAATAGATTAGTGGCGACTCCAAGCATGAAAACTTTTGCATGTTAAAAACTTAAACCCTAAGTTGCGAATTGGTAGGGCTTGGGAGGGCCCGAGTTAGGCTTAGACTTAACAATCCATTAGCCCAAGAGGAATTTTAGGTCGCGACAGCTTGGCGACTCCGCTGGGGAACTTGAGTTAAAACTCTTAGTGGACTTAGGCCAGTTTTTCTTTTCAAAAAATATTTTTTGCTTGGCAAATGAGGATCCCAGGTACGTCCCTAACATTTTAGGTGTTAAATGTTTTTGCAGACTGGGAGGTATAAGGGGAGGCGTGATTGTTAACCCTTGTTTTGCAGGGAGGTGTTTGGATGTATGGTTTATTTTATGTACGAAGAGCTGTATGATATAACCTGTTGTGCATGCCTTGCATTTCACTACACCGCACACACTACCCGCTGCCGGACCTAGGCAGCACAGGTTTAGGATGGTACCGAGACAGCGGACACCCCGACCACACCCGCGTGGTATGGGTCGCCCTCCTTGGTCCCGAAAGTTTTTTCACGGTGTCATTGAGTTCCCACCACGGTTGCACCCTTTGCAACCCGGGTCGGCTCCTTGACTAAGCCGGAGTCAGGGGAACCTCGGCCTAACCACAACCATGACTGGTTTAGCCCGGTAATCCTCGCGTCTCCATTTTGTAAGCCAGAGTCTAGATAGAAATCGAACCTCACATTTCATGCGCGTGTCTATGTGATTGCCATGGTCCTACCGGGTAAAGTAAGTCTTCTGAACTCTCCTTTTTGCAATTTATTTAGTTATTGCATCTTTCGGGTCGGTCCATGATAGGTATAGGTCGGTTTTTAATTTGAAAGTAATAATCATTGAGTCCTTTTTTTTAAAACAAAAAAAAAAGAAGAAAAAAGAAAGCTCTTTTGGAGAATTATTTTCAATCTATGTCTTTATTTTCTTGGATGTGTCATAGGTCATTATTTCCTGAGAAATTTGCCATCATTTTCACAAGTACATGGAGTAATGAAAAATGTCACGAAAAATGGGAATAAAAAGGGACAATTAGATTGAGTCATGGACTGATCGTTTTGAGGACGTATACTTACCATGCTCTATTTTTTAATTAGGTTATTACGGACCGTCAACGTTCCCCAATCCGTACTCGCTCAAGAGCAAGAATGACTGACCAAAATGAGCAGGCTCGTGTTGCTGTCCTTGAAACCGAAATGAAGCAAGTCCTGAATGTGCTCGAGAATATCACCAAACAAGTTGCTTCTCTACAGACAAGCATTTCCACACTGTCTGCACCCGCTCAACCGAGTGTAGAGATTGTACTGCCCGATGACTCTCCTCCTGTTGAGTCAAAAGATAAGGGAAAAACTGTTGCCATTGGCACTTCCTCGACCGAGAATGGTGCAACTTTAACTGACAAAGCTCGTCCGATCATTACAGATGGGGGCGATGCATCTTCTAAGCCACCAAAGAGTGATGAGGCTGAGCGTATTGATAAGCTTGAAGAAAAATTCCGGCAAATGCAAGGTTTTGATGATCAATTCTCACGAGGTCTTGCTCACATTGTCAAGGTTCAAGTCCCTAAGAAGTTCAAGGCGCCTGAGTTTAATAAGTTCGATGGCCTTTCCTGTCCTAAGGTCCATTTACAATACTACACGACGAGGATGGCGCCGTATGCTGATAATGTGCCACTCATGATCCACACTTTCCAAGATAGCTTAACCGGACCCCCCTTACAATGGTTCGTTTTGAAAAAGATTCATTCGCTCAAGACATGGGAGGATTTGTCTGATGCTTTCATTCGTCAATACAAATTCAATATTGACGTGGCCCCGTCACGTGAGGATTTGATTCGCACTGAGAAGAAAAAGACCGAGACCTTCAAGGCCTATGCTACTAGGTGGAGAGCTCTAGCTGTGCAAATTACCCCCGAGTTGACTGAGAAGGAGATGCTTGATACCTTCATGAAGACTTTACCGTTCGAGTTTCGTAATCGAATGTTGGGTTCTAATTTCAATTCTTTAGCTGAGTTGATACCTGTGGGAGAACGCATTGAGATCGCTCTGCGCGATGGTTGGGCCACACGAGCTACCTCTCGCTAAGAAGTTCACCCTCAAGAAGGATAAGGAACCGACACCGAAGTGAATGTAGCTTACTCTCAACAAAGCCGTGACACCGCCTCGACAATACGATCGTTGGCAAACAACAAGGTGGACGCCAATTCACTAGTCGGCAACAAGGTACTAAAAGGAACTTCACGCCTCTGCCTGGGCCGTTATCCAAAGTTTTGCCTGTCCTCCAAAAGAAAAATTTGCTTTCAAGTGAGCCGAAACGCCCGAACCCCGAGCGGTTCTCTGGTTATGACTCCTCTAAGAAATGTGAGTATCATATGGGGGAAGTCGGTCATTCTACTGATGATTGTTATGTACTGAAACATAGAATTCAAGACCTAGTGGACACAAAGGCATTCTCTTTCCGCAGTGATCAACCAAATGTCCAGCGGAACCCTCTACCCAACCATGCCGGAAGCACGGATGCTGTTATTGAGTAGAGAAATTTCTGTTTTATACTCCTCTGCGAAGGAGTCTTTCATGCTTTCTAGGATTTCAAGTGTTTCTAGGATTTCCTGCTTTCTAGGATTTCAATTCATGTTTATGTTTTTATTCGTAGGGCTTTGATTATTTGCATTTCCCTTCCAATAATGTAATTCATTCGACTCTATTCAATGAAATTACAAGTTTATTTGCATTTTGAGGGTATGTTGAAGTATACCAAACTAGCCCGGTGATGATATCCAACCATGAAAAGAAAATATCATCCAAGGAGAAATTCTGAGGGCTGGGCTTTCTCATGCTCCCTAAAAAAAAAAAACTTTCCGAAAATAAAAAGCATTTCATTGTTTTTTTAAAAAAAAAAAAAAACCTTTTTCCAAATCATGCATCAAATAAACCCTGTTTGTTTGTCTGACTCATTTACTTCATGTCTCGAGCATAATACTCTAGCTTGTTATGATGAGAAAATGACACATCCAGTTCAATGATGATGAACCCATTGGTTCAATTGAGAGCTAACAAAGCCTTCGAAGGAAAGTGAGCTTGCAAAGACTTATCTGGGGGCAATGAATCATAACTTGATTTGGTGTGGTGCTATATCTGGAAAGCCAGAAAAGGAGATGACAAATCGGGGGCATGACAGACTCCTGTAGCGGCCATTGAGATAATTCCTTGGACAATCGAAATTTACTAAGTCTCATTTTGCGTTACATAGAATCCTATTCATGCACGTTCTCTTGTGCAGGGGCAAAAGCAACGATGGAGCATTCATGTGTCCATTCCTTCTAAATAGGGGCAATCAAAGGGCTCCCATTCCAAAAATGTCTCTCTGTGTTGATGTTCTCACACCTTTTGCAGGAACCATTTATTTTGAATGCTCAATGCCATATTTTTCATGCTTATGATGAGATTTTTAGTATGATAAATATGTTCGGAAGTTGCAAACTTTTTGTGCTTGAACTTGATAAGCTTGTGAAATGATCATATCTTTCAAGGAAAAGAAATTTTGCTTGGTAAGTTTACCTATTTGACTCATCAATTTTATGTTGAAATTTGTCAAGATGGACAATTCAATGAATGATGTGGAATTGCTTGAGTATGCTAAATGAGATATGTTGGGATGATGAAAGGCAAGCCACATCTTATACACCTTCCCCTATTCATACACTTGTGAGATGAGTGGAAAAATTGCATGTTCATAAGGTAAAGGGTTATCTCGCGAAAGGTACGACTACCGAAATGACGAGAGGCGGTTCATTTCTCTATCCCAAATACTACAAGTTATCCATTGTTTCGCCACTTTGAGCCCAAACACTTGGAGAAGTTTTTTCAAATTACCCCTGTCAAGAACCACCCCACATCGGGGCAGATAGAGGTAAGTCGTCATAAGATGAGAAGAATGGATAGAAATTTTCTTACTTTCACTTGCATCAATCTTCAAGTGTTGCTATTGCAAATGAACTCAAACATTAATTCAAGTGCCTTAGAATGATGAAGAGCGGTTCTTTCTCTATCCTACACACTTTATCCATTGCTTAGCCCACTTGAGCCTGCAATTTCATTTCATAAAAATCCAGTTGGTGATCATCCCCCACACTGGGGCAAGGTAAAAGCCATCATTGTCCATGCAACATATCCGGAGCGCCAATAGAAGACGAAGACCCTGAGAGTCCAAATGTTAGTCATTCGGTCAAAATAAGCCAAAGTGTGGTTGGCTAATGTATGCATTGTAGACAGTGTGTGTCAAAAGTTTTTAAAGTTAAAAAAAACTAAGTGGCATGAAAAAGCAGTGTGCTTGGTAAAAGCAAAGCCATGCCCATGAAAAAGAAAAGTCGAAAAAAAAAAGGGAAGAACTTTAGAGAAAAAATGTCAAGATATGACATGTCAAAGTCATGAATCCCAGTGGATCAGTGGTCTTACAAGTCTCGAAGGAATCAAGTGGTGAACTCAAGCGATAGTACATCTATCAAGAAGACAATTCTTCAAGGCAAAGAAGAAAACCGGTGATTATGCCTAGATGATCACCAACTCTCACCCTTATACACATTTCTTAGCTGATATATACTTTCGTTTCTTGAACCATGAACCTAGCCTACGTTACGTCCCTTGCAAAGTCTCTTCGGATTAGGGCACTTGAATTAACGTAGAATTCAGATGTTTATAAGCTTAGCTCGAAGAAGTGCGAGCAAGTCTATTTTTATCTCATTTTGCGGGGTTCTTGACTTGTAAACCCGGAGATGATTGTGGAGTATTTTCTTTCAATACCCTCGACTCGAAGAGTCCCCTTTGTTAAGCCATTGACCAAACCGACACTACGGTCCTGACAAAGACCTCTCAGATTGGTAAGGTTGTACCGCTTGCGAGAATACTCGGACCCTTATCAACATGATGATGGTGAGATGGAGTGATTCTCATAAAATAGCCCTTCTGAATGAGAGTGAGTGAAAGCTCTTTTTAACTGAAAGTCTCTCATTTAGCATTCTTAAGAAATCCACGTTATAAGTGAAAATTGTCTTAATGATAATTCTCCCTAGTGGAAATTTGGTTATGCAAATATGGTAAAACCATCATGCATAAACCTCAATTGAATTAATGAATTTTGAAATGTGTGTTCTAGAGTAGCCGTGATTGCTAATCTCTTTTATGAATGCATATGTGTTTTTGCTCTAGTCATGTCCGACAGGTAATGTTTCCTCGAAGACTGAAGAGTTCCTGACGCTTGAGTTGCTATCTGAAGCTTCGAATTTGTTTAAATATTTTTCAACATTCAAATATCTGATTGAAGTTTCAGGTATCATTTCCGAAAATCCGAAGGGAATTTTCGATTCTATTAATCATATCTGATTGCAGTTTCAGATATCTTTTCGAAGATCCGAAGGGAATCATCGAACCCATTCAAATACCTGATTGAAGTTTCAGGTATTATTTCCGAAAATCCAAAGGGAGTTTTCGATCCTATTAATCATATCTGATTGCAGTTTCAGATATCTTCTCGAAGATCCGAAGGGAATCATCGAGCCCATTCAAGTATCTGATTGAAGTTTCAGATATCATTTCCGAAAATCCGAAGGGAGTTTTCGATCCTATTAATCATATCTGATTGCAATTTTAGATATCTTCTCGAAGATCCGAAGGGAATCATCGAGCGCATTCAAGTATCTGATTGAAGTTTCAGGAATTTTTCTTGAAAGTCCGAAGGGAATTATTCGATACCTTTCATCGAAAATCCGAAGGGAATTTTCGAGCCCATCTCATCTCAAGCATCTTCTCTGAAAATCCAAAGGGAATTTTCGAGCTTTCAAATACTATTGGGAATTCCAGATACTTGGCAGGTTTCGAAAGCTGATCCATACCCCAATTTTGCTTTTCCAAATCTTCAGGTAAGTAAATGCAGGTATGTTTTCTATTTTTGCATTTGCATTTTCCTATCATATTAGAAAATGGGTGTGGGCTCATTGAGATCTCATTTACTCGACAAAAAGATTAATTTTTCTCATTGCATTTGCATAGTCAAATTTTAGGTATCATTTTATCTTTGAATGAAACCTCTTCGAGCTCCCCTTCAAAGAGGGGCAGCTGTTGACACCTAAATTTTAACTAGTCATTTAGGAACAATTGCATAGAAAATTAGGGATTTATTTTTTAACCCCTAAACAAAAAAATATAATTAGATGGCATTGCATATAGATATTAGGAGCATTCCATTAATAGTTAATATAGTTTGCATATTTATTGGACCGGTGTCAAATGGACTTGAATGAATAGTTCGTGCTTAATCAAGCTAATTGAACTAAGCCCGCGAGAACTAGAAAGGTTGGCAAAAAGCCCATGCTATGACCGAAAGTTTGATGGACTTATAAAATTCTTCCCCACGGCATGGTCAGATAAATGAAAGGAAAGAATAGCATGCGGGCACGTATCATCTTCACACATATCTTTGATTTACGGGCACAAGTGGAGGAATGATGCAAAGAATAAAAGAAAATATTTGGCTGAGCTGGTGCTGTGCAGACAAAGGGAATAAAAGGAAGGCAAGAAAAGATCTTTAGCATTATTCACATATAATAAATATTGAATAAGAGGTTGCGCGTGGGGCATATAGTTGATCTTAAGCAATATATCTTTTTGACAATATTTGTTATACACAAAGAAGGTAGTCGAGAGGTGGCTTTTCATTCATATATTCATATTTCCTCTTTTGAAGAAAAAAGGAAGACATTATAAAAGAGACCCAAAAAGCGACAGAATGGAGGGGGCTTTCTTTTAGGATCTGATCACACGCAAGAAACACGAGAGACACACGTACGTGAGGTTAGAGAGAGAAGAGGTCTCTCGGCCAAAGACCTTCTGGCCGAGACTCCTTCTTCGGCGCCACCCCTTGCCAGCTGACCGCCGCTCCTTCCATGACGGCAAGTTGTTCTGATCTGCCCCGGCGTACTTGACACTGACCTTGACGACGTTTCTGTTCACCGTCCAGCCTTACTGACGAAGCTCGCGACCTTGCCGAGCCTTACTGACGAACAGCCAGCCACCTCGAGCTCGAACATCTG